TTTCCACGCTCAATTGTTTTTGAAGTATCTATAAGGATATTAGTACAATATACAAGTATATATTTGTTATTGTATTATGTTTTAATGAGGAAGGTAGATAAATAAATTCAATTCTAATTCTTACTCCTAGGGGGCTCTCAATTAAAGAGTATCTGGTTCCAGAGTCATCTTGTTCAGAGCCTCTTGGCTTAGTCTAAAGGCTCACAGATAACCAAAATTATTCCTGATTCTGCCCTATACAACATGGAGTCTCTGCTATCTTCCATGTTAGCTTAGTCATATTTCCTTGCCTATCAGCATCTATTTCTATTCCAACTTTATTTGATTCTTCTCATCCAGAAACAAAAAAGCAAATTGCACACCCCAGTTTGTCTCTCACACAGGAATCAGACTGCTAGTCTGGTTACAGGACTAGACAATTTTCAGAGCCTGAAAATGTACGAATATAAAGACAGGAAGATGTTCTTTATCTTTACAGATCCACTTCTCTGAACTGTAACCGGAGTTTTGTTTTTCTCACCAACCAGCTGTGAACTAATTACAAGAAGTTCTAACTAGTCAAGCTCCCTCTCCAAACATATGGATCCAATTAAGTCAAACTGCAGCTGATTTTAATCAATCTTCCTTGAAGCAGCCAAACTTGAAGAATCTCTTCTCCTTCAACTTGAAGGGCTGAGGAGAGCAGGAAAAGCAGGAGAGTGGTATTTGCATAAGGAACACTTCACCATCCGCTCCATTGCCCGTAAACAAGACTCCTAGCAGTAATAAATGCTAATTGAGCACTCTTCAGAAGTCTTTCCTCCCATTTTCTCCAAAAAGCACTGATTTGATCAGTCCCTTTTGTTCCTGGCTTCAAGTTGCAGTTTCCCCCAATGAGTAGAGGGCAGATTGCCTGAAGTGTTCTGGACTGTTTAACAAACTAAGCCACTTTCTAAGACAGCAGCAACAGTCTGCCCACAATATGCAAAAGCAAGTCATAGCAGCAGATATGCTCTCCTATTCCAGCAGGGGTTGCCATAGCAGAAATGGATGCAGATGAGTGAACACTTAAATGTATGTGATCCCTCAGCCTTCATACCAGCTGATCTCCCCCTACCTCAGGTTCAAAAGATTTCAGTTAGATGTGTCACGGGAAAGGAGTGATGATGTCTTCCCGCAATCCAAACATTTTTTCAGGTTTTTTTAAATTTGAGGTTTTTATTAGCAGTAAAGATCTAAACAGCAAGTAATATCCATGCTATTGTGTTTATACCAGTGAAGGAAAATCAATCCAGCCCCCAGCTAGGTGTCAAGAGCCAAAGGGATATTGGGAATTGAAGGGTGTGAAAGTTGATGGAGCCTCTAGCCACAATTGAAGATGTCCCCAAGCAAGCAGAGAATACAAAGAGGCAGAGTCTATATACGCTGCTGCAGATATTCATCAATTTCTTCACTTGCTAATACAGGCTCGGGGAGTATAAATCACATACCTCCTAATACAACAATAGCTTTCAAAGCACATACCTGCCCTCTGGCCCAGTTAGTGCCATATAGTTCACTGAATGGCAGTATCACTGCCAGCAGCCAATTCAGGGACAGGCAAAGGCAAAATGGCCATACTCAGACACACAGGCATGTGACAATGTGAGAGAATTTTTTTGAAGATAACTTTTTCATGGGTCAATACAGTCAAACCTTAGTGGTCCTGAACTCTTGGCTACTAAAGGCTGGACATGTCCCTTCAGGTTTGAATTCACTGCATATGGTTTTATGGACTGATCAGACTTCAGTACATAAAGATTGGTGCACTTAAGTTGTTATGCTTGATTTCACTCACTTTCTGTCACACCCCTCTCCCCAACACATCAACAAATTTTGTACACTCTCTTGTAAGTAACTTTTATTTATTCCAATAATGGCTTATTTATTTATTTTTAAAGGAAGTGCTACAGATTTTTTTTTTTTTAAAAAAAAAACCTCTGCCAAATCTTAATCTGTTCATTGTCTTCTACCTCTTTTACTTCTTTATTTTCTCTGATCCTTTGTTTTTCCCACTTCTGAAACTTCACTAGGGGACTTTTTCTTCAGAAAATTTTAAAAAGTTATTTTGTAACATTACCATTTGTTCTCCTTTCTTGCTTTTCTTTCTGACAAAGATATTATTTTAACCCATCATCTCCCGGATTTCTACCTCAGGAGTAAGCAACAAATAATAAACTGACTTGGGCATGTTCCAGTGACTCCATTTGAGTGCAGAATTACCTTTTTCCAACATATTCTCCTTGCACTATCTGACTGCAGAGATTAATAGCTTGATAACCCATATTTAATGGTATTCAGCAGCAGATAACCCAGTCCGCAGCAGTGCCTAGACGCAACAGAAGTGTTTACACAGGATGCAATTCTGAGCCTGGGCCTGCTGGGGACTTGGGACTCAAGTAATGAATAATTAATCTTCATTAGCAGGCAGGGCCACTGAGCAATTTTTATACTGAGGGTGCTGAAAGCCTTTGAACAAAACCAGAAACCCAGAATATGGTGGAAGTGGTGCATTCGGTTGCTATTATTACTTCAAGCCAGGGGGTGCTGTTGCACCTCCAGGACCAGAACCCCTGGTAGCAAGGCTGTTTTTACCTTGTAGACAGTTCTGATCTCTTGACCACTCAACTGGGTGGGTACTGATCAGTAATTCACATCTTTTCAGCACTCAGACTTGCACAGATCCGTCTCCATTTGGAGAAATCGCAGTTGCCCAAGGAGTTAATCTATAGTGTTCTCCTTTCCTTGCTATTCACTTCCTGATTCAAAGGAACCAGAACTCCAAGCTCATAAGATATGCACAAGCAGTGGGAAGATAAGGAGAAGTTAAACAAATAACTAAGTCCAAGCCTTAGCCCTCCCAAACTAAAACCAAGAATGTTGTCAACTTAGTCCAGTTCTCCTCAGGTGGGTTCTCCACCTAACCTCTCCTGATGGGGCTGGTTTCTCCTTCTTGAACCAGCTCAGACAGATAACCTCTTCTCCTTCTCTATGCCTGCCTGTCCTCTTGTCTTCCTCACATCTTTTCCTTTTCCCTGCATTCTTAGGTCTTTTTTGTTCCTCTCCAGTCCCCTCACATAGCCCTGATCTGCACCACACCATTATTAAACTCTAGGGTTCTGAGCACTGCCACTGAATTGCACTATTGTGATATGCGCTACTAGAACCTGGGATGAGTTCAAACTACTTTTGTTTGAATTGTGAATTTTGTGAAGAATACAACAGTCACTGCGCCACCCAAGTCTGCTAACATGGTGGGCGAGTGGTTTTATTATAACATGAAGGCTCTGTCTCAGCTTTGTCTTTGATGTCCTGATCCCAGCCTTTATCATTGCATCATGTTCACAGCATTAAATGAGCTCAGCTACCAAAAGGACCACACCTACCCACCCACTTCTGTCTAAAATAAGACAATTAGCAAAACTATATGAAAGGCTCTGAACCTTTCCTGCTGCAGACAGACCTTAGAAGCTTGGTGCTTTTAGCGTCTCAAGGGCGGGGCTACTGGCATTGCTGACACTGATTTCAAACACTAGATCTCTCTGAGAATCCCAAACAAAACAGGGAATTACTCTGGCCAGAATGGTGATGCCCCAGTGCTGGGAGCTGGCAGCTAGCCTGAGGCAGTGAGGACAGATTAAATATGATTTGAATGAGTTGTAACCTGCTCTGAAACCAAAGCTGCTGTTGTGTATGTTTGGAGACCGGAGCATCAGAACACCAAACCCAATGTTTTCATCTCCTTCTGATGACAGAAACCCAATTAAAGGAGAGCTGGGTGACAGGTTTCACGCTAACCACGGCTCAGCAGAGGCGCTCAACAGCTCTCAGCTCCCTGCTTTATCAAAGCTGTCACTTCCCCCTTCTCCAGGAATTGGTAATAAAAAAGAGATTTGATTTGCCTCTAATAGGTGTCAAGATAAAATCAATGGTCTGCCTGAAATTCGGGTAATTTCAAACCTGCAGGTTTTCTACCATCATAAAGCAATTTACACAAAAAGGAGAAAAAAGAGAAAGAAAGAAAAATTAAAAGAATGAAATGTTACAAGGCTGGGTTGTTCGGCACATCAGAGAAAGATAACACTGCTCGGAGCAGGATGGCCTTTGATTAAACACAAAATAGGCTTCGCTTCTCGCTCACTCCGGCTTCTTTCAAACAGAAGATGCTTTAAATGTAACACTCCCACCCCTCCCTCTGCACAGAGTAACAGTGTTTCAGAGATGAGAGCAGCCTGAGTAAGCATCCCCTTCTATTACTGCCAGCTTCAGGGAGAGGAAGGCTTCACTGCTGTATCCAGAATAAAAAAGTTGAAACTCTTGCTTATGAGATGGGCGAAGCATCAGCCTCAGCAAAAATATGGGAAAATCCTGCAGTGCCATGGTAAAATCAGCACTTTAGCTTTTCTTTCACTCAGATTTCTTATTTCATACTTTCCTCCTCTTGGGGAGAGTGTGTGGATCGCTGCCACCACAACCTGTTCCTTCCATACCCCATCATCATGTTCTGGACTTGAATAGCTCTTATCAGATAAGGCCGCAAGCTATTGAGCGTTGCCCAGTGTGAATGGTAATGATGGTGGGAAGCTGTAATGTAAACAGCGCCGAGGCATTTTTACCAACCTGTCATCATAGTGGAAAACGCAGTCTATACAACAGCTCCCAGCGCTGCTCGAGCTGCAGCAGTGGTTAGTTATGGCTGTGAAGTTTGCTCGCACAGACAAAGGTTTGGAGGCTTCTAAACAGAAGTATACCCAAGTATACTGGAAAAAGCATCTGTTCTTGCATGCCTGAATACAACACCAAAATCTCAATATGAGAACATCGTACACAGATAAGGGTTTGTGGGATGGGCTTGGTTTGGGCTGAAGGGGAAGGATCTGTGGACTGTGAAAGGAACTTCTGGAAGTTTGTCAGTATACTCATCCATCAAGGCTGGACTGTGCCAAGCTATTCAGCCCTTCTGGCCCTGTCCCACTTCTTACCTGGAGAGTGAGCTTCTCCAATTTCATTTCCAGAGTCTTGTTCTCTTCTTCTAGCCGCCCTCGCTCAACCTCCAACTCTTCAATTTTTAACCTGTAAAGACGGGGGGAAGAAACACACTGAAACTCCGAATGCTCTAACCCTGCTTTAGTCCCACCACTGGAAAGAGCAAAATAATGAGGACCCAAAGACAGAAATCACACACCTGTCCAAAAATATTCTTCCAATGGTAAGATACCACATTAAATGAAAAGAATAAAACAACATTATTGCACTGTTAAGTATGCATAGGTAAAAGACCAATTTATCAGGAAATTCAATATTTACAGTTCCTACACCAGTATTACCTTGGCCATGTCAAGGGGGTGTTTTTTCAGTGTGTCTGTGGTTGCTCTTTAAAGAGAAAAAACTAATTAAGCTAGTTAATAATGTTCTAGACACCGGCAACGATTGTACTGCCACCGAAGACCGCGACGGGACTTTGGCGGCAGCTCAACAGCCTACGGCTATTTTCGGAGGCACGTCGGAGGAAGGTCTTCTCTTCCACTCTTCACCTGGGGATGCGCGAGCCAAAAAGATTGGAGACCCCTGTTCTAGAGGGTCATAAATATAAAGGGAAGGCTAATCACCTTTAAATCCCTCTTGGCCAGAAAAAAAACCCTTTCACCTGTAAAGGGTTAAGAAACTAAAGATAACCTAGCTGACACCTTACCAAAATGACCAATGAGGAGACAAGATACTTTCAAAGCTGGGGAGGGGGTTGGGAGGAGGAAACAAAGGCTCTCTCTGTCTGTGTGTTGCTTTTGCTGGGACCAGAGCAAGAATGCAGGGCAGAACTCCTGTAAAAAGCCAGTAAGCAATCTAGTTAGATATGCGTTAGATTCTCTTTTGTTTACATGGCTGATACAATAAGCTGTGCTGAATAGATATTCCTGTTTTTGTGTCTTTTTGTAACTTAAGGTTTTGCCTAGAGGGATTCTCTATGTTTTGAATCTGATTACCCTGTAAGGTATTTACCATCCTGATTTTACAGAGGTGATTCTTTTACTTTTCCTTTAATTAAAATTCTTCTTCTAAGAACCTGATTGCTTTTTCATTGTTCTTAAGATCCAAGGGTTTGGGTCTGTGTTCACCTATGAAAATTGGTGAGGATTTTTTATCAAGCCTTCCCCAGGAAAAGGGGTGTAGGGCTTGGGGGGATATTTTGGGGGAAGACATCTCCAAGTGGGCTCTTTCCCGGTTATATTTGTTAGACGCTTGGTGGTGGCAGCAATAAAGTCCAGGGACAAAAGGTAAAATAGTTTGTACCTTGGGAAAGTTTTAACCTAAGCTGGTAAAAATAAGCTTAGGGGGTTTTTCATGCAGGTCCCCACATCTGTAACCTAGAGTTCAGAGTGAGGAAGGAACCTTGACGTAGACACTGAAAAGTCATACATAACTCAGGTAAAGAGTGGCTGGCGAAAAGGATGAGAGGCACTCTCCTGTCATTCCATATAAACCACTAACGTCCTGGGCACCTGCTTTTTCCAGAAGCTGTTGCAGTATGACAGCATCTTCAGATGTAACTTAGCGTTACTCCTTACATTGTGTTTTAAAGTGCTTTTAACCCTTCAGGACATACCAAAGGAAGAGAGAATTTTTTTCTGTAAGGAAAAAAACATAGCAGCTACTGAAGGTCAGAATCAGATACCCAAAACATTCAGAGTGAATGACATCCTCATATTCAATATTCTGCATTTTGGCTCAAAACCTCTAACAAATCTCTCAACACCACCCACCCTCCCCAACTAAGGGGTGATATTTCCTACAGAACAAGCACTCTGCCTGTGGTACCAGCTGAGGGCTGCCCTCCAATACCACATGTAAGTGTCTCCAGAGAAAGCAGAGTTTGAAAAAAGATCAAGCTGAAACTGGATTATGGTTGAGCCATGATGTTTATATGGTATTTCAAATGTACTTTTAAGGTTTAATAACTGATTCCTGTCCTTAATTTAATGCCCAGGAAGACATGGTGCTTTATACACGGGTGCTGTTCTAGTGGGATAGAGAATGTGTGTTCAGAATGTTTGTTATAGTCTGAGATGCCTGCCATTTTTCAGTACAGTTTGTCTAATGTTTTCCCCCTCTGGTCACTGAGTGAGATTTTTTACTTGTCTAACGAACATTCAGCTAGTTGAATCGTTCAATTGTTTACATTTTCACTCTGCCTCCTTCTACAAAGAGAGAGATGTGCATTTATGAAATGGAGCATCCAAGGGTATATCTACATTGCAATTAGACACCGGAGACTGGCGTGTGCCAGCTGACTTGGGCTTGCAGGGCTCGGGGTGGCGGGGCTGTTTAATTGCCGTGTAGATGTTCAGGCTCAGGCTTCAGCCCAAGCTCTGGGACCCTCCTGCCTCGCAGAATCCTAGAGCCTGGGCTCCATCCCAAACCTCTGCACCACAATTAAACAGCCCCTTAGTCTGAGCCCTGCAAGTCTGAGACAGCTGGAACAGGCCAGCTGCAGGTTTTGAATTGCAGTGCAGAAGTACCCCAACAGACTACAGCCAAAGGCACCTGCTCCCCACCCTCACTGTAATGGAGAACCAGAGTTCAATATCTCTCCTTTATTGACTTGGCACCCAAGCAAAGCCTTGTCTCTTGTGCTGGCTGCTGGGGCCAGCACTGCTATTCTCACTCCTCTACTGGTCTATGTTTGACACTGTAAAGTGCCCTGGATCTCCACTGGGGGATATTGAGAACCATAGGCAAACAGTCTGTGCTACTTGGTCTTTCCTAATCAGCCCACGGGAGCAATTCCCAGTGGCAAAGAAAGAGAGGCATGGGAGAGCCTCTCAGTATATAACATAGGAGAGCACTTGCAGTTCGCAGTTAAACTACCAGAGAAGATACTTACTTGTCATTGACATTTTTAATTTGAGTAAACTCAGACTCAGGGCCCGGTTGGTGTTGTGTTTGGATTCTCCAACGGGCATAAAGGCAGTGTTAACCTACATGCTACCTTGTGCTCCACTCATCTAGGTGCCAACAATAAAAAATATGGCAACCATTTTCTCCCCAATTCTTACCTCTCAACTTGTGCACCAGAGTTACTCTTCCTCAGCTGTAGGTTGTTCTACAGGTGTTTGTAAGGAGAACAATCCAGGACAGACTCAAATGACGAACGACAAAAAGTAAACTAGAAAGAGATCAGGGCTCAGTACGGTCACCTATCAATTTAACATTTGACCTAGACTGAATACAAATGCAGCTTTTCGGTGGGAGGAGGAAAGAATTGTCATTTACTCGCTACAATATTGATACTATAAAATGCTGAGTTTTACTGGTGCAGAAAGCCTCGTTGAAATTCACTGTTGACTATCTACCCATTCATTCGTTACAGAGAAGCTTGAAAACATGAAATTGTTTCAATTCTTGACAAGACTGCATCAAATCTCTTATGGGGCTTTCCTGGAGCAGATGCAGTGAAACTTAAAGTAACTCAAAAGAGAAGACTGTAAAGGCACAATGTTTTATGACACTGCCTCCCAAGCTCTAAGGGGGAGATCTAGTTAGTGAAAGATCACCAAGGAGTTGCATTTGCTCTGACCTGTGTATCTACCCCAGTATCTTGGTCTTGCATGTGTCTCCAATTCCAGACAGTTGGAATCATTCTGGTGTTGGGCACACAGCATATATACCACTGTCCCAATTTAGAAGGACAAAACAACAAAGGGGAAAAAACCCTACATCTCCAACAAAGCCTCGTCTACCAGGAAAGGCTGATCCATGAAAGACCTCACCATGCAAATCTCATTTATCTGGGAACTGCTTAGATGCTATGGTGATGGGTGCCATAGTAACACCTGAGGCAGACAGACTGATCATTCCTATTTTTTAAGCAGAAAAAAATGAAGTATTTCTCCAACTCTCTCCTTCCAGAAAACTGTCAGAGTCCAATGGAGCTAACAGGTGCTCCCATTTTTCTCCTTATTGTCCTTATTTATAAGATTAAAATGTTGGCAGCTATAGCAGAGCACAGTGTGATTGACAGCATAGTATTGCCACTGATAGGGGCCTCTCTCACGGTATGCCCCATCTGTGAAGAGGGCACTGCCATGTAGAAAAGCTACTGCTGAACTGGAAACTATTGAACGGAACAGAAAATGTATGAGTGGAGAAGACACTATTAAGGGATCCAGATGGCAATGAGATGGTGTTAGAAACAGAGCAGAGATTTCCAGCAAGTGTGACTAACAGGCATTGACAAGGACATGAATTTCTTTTGAATCACTGTAACGCTACCTACTCACTAAATCCATAGACAACACTTAGGATTTACTGGAATTTCTGTTTGACAGCAGAAAGAAAAAGTTCAGATTTGTTCCAGTTGAAAAGATCCTTCAGCTGTTGCCACTTAAGTCTTTACTAAAGCTGTTTTTTAATGTATTACTTTTATTTATTCGTTATAAAACAACAGCCTTTGCGGATTTATCATCACCCAAGTAAAACGGGTTACTGACTAAACATGGTTTGTTATACCCTGTGGTCAACAAACTAAATTGTTCGACCACCCTTTCCCATTATGAGAGCTGAACAATATGGCAAATATGATTTACAGGGGACAAGGGGAATGACAGCATTAATAATGTCTTTTATTGTCTCCTCGGAAGTAATAAAGTTGGGAAAGAATTTCACATTTAGAGCTATAAAAGGTCTGACAAAAGAGCACTTTGTTCTCGGGGGGGAGAGGGAGAAAAACTGATAAAGTCTTTCAAGCTTCTCACTGAAAATTTACTTTCCATACTAAAGAAAAAGGAGACAAAATATTTTTTTTAAAGCTTTCACTCACTCACAGGACGTGAATACAGATTTAAGGGATTAATGTGGATTTCATTGTCCTTTGTGACTATCCTGCATTTGTTTTCAGAAGTTAGCTTTTAACAGTGAAGTTTATATGGAAATGCCTGGAGGCACACAGTTCTTTCCCGTTCCTTTCTCTGGCTTCTGACGGTTCCCTTCAATTTTTCAGGCTCCTTCAGGAGAGCAGCTAACTGGTGGGGTTGGGCTTAGTCCAGGACAGTGGGTGCATCGGATTGTAGATGAATGGT